TGGGGCTATGTTATTTTGGTTTTTCATGTTATTATTTTTTCTCTGTGATTTTGACATGTCAATTTCTTTCGTAGTTTCTGATTTTTGTGTGAGACTCAAGCCTTCAAGTTAAGTCTGGTGCTTTTTGTGAATTTTATGTGTCTTTGTGGTTTACTTTTTGGGCATGAGAGGCTGGTTCCTCTAAGCTTCCTGGTCTCTCTTTTGATTTTATACTGGAGTGGCCAGATTGCTTTCGTCTTCAGGAGTTCCCACAGAGGCCCTAGTCAGATGAGGATCCGATACTCTCAGCCTTTCTCCAAGGTCTGGATCCCTCCTGGATAGATTTTGCCCTCAGGAATTTGGGGGTTGGACTAAGAAAGATGCTTGTCTAGGGCAGCTGGTGGCCATGCCACACAGAGATGCAAAGGAAGATGGGGGCTGGTGGCGGCCCCAAGGGCCCCTGGGGACTGCACTGAGGAACTGGATTGGTCTGAATGCAAAGGTTCAGGAAGTGGAAAGGTCAGCCCTGGTATCCAGGAAAGAGGTTGGCAGGTTGTACAGACCAAGGGAAGCAGAGGGAGGTGAGGGTGGGGCCAGGCCCAGAGAGCCCTTGGGGAGATGGAGCTGAGTTGTTCTGGATGCACAGGATCAGGAAGAAGCAGTGGTGGTTCCCCCAGGTGTCTGGGGGCACCAAGACAAGGAATGGGACAGGACCTAGCCTAGGAGGACAGACAGGCATGGGAGATGGGAGGGTGAGTGAGGCTGGGGGAGTCAAGGCGCAGAGGGCCCAACCAAATAACCCTGGAGAAAGAAGCCTGCAGATCAGAGAGAGGCCTGCTTGTCCTGCAGGCCCAGGGAAGCAGAGGGGGTTGAGGGTTGGGGCCAGGCCCAGTAGCAGTCCTGCTGGGGACCTGAGAAGGAACTGAGTTTCTCTGGATGCAAAGGATCAGGAAGAAGCAGTGGTGGTTCCCCAGGTGTCTGTGGCACCAAGACAAGGAATGGGACAGGACCCAAGCTAGGAGGAGAGGTGGAGGGGGAGATGGGAGGGTGAGTGAGGCCAGGGGCGTCAAGGCCCGTAAGACCGAGTAGACTTACCCGGGAGAGAGAAGCCTGCTGGTTGGAGAGAGCTATTGGGTTCTTGTTTTTAAAGTCAATGTCTGTTTCTATTTTCTAATAGTTTTCAATTTTCAGAATTTTTAGTTTTCAACCTTCTGGATCCATCTTGAAGTGATAGAACAATTTTCCATGTTCATAAACTCCCAGAATTAATATTGTGGAAATGACCATACTGTGGAAACCTGTGTACAGACTGTCCATTCACTGTTAAACCCTTGGCTTGTGTTGTGAGTCTCTGTGGTAATCATAAGTTGCTTTAGGAAGAAGCTTCTCTGATGAGAGTTGAGAAGTGCATTAATCTATGTGTGTATCAATGAGCCATTACGAATCAGTTTAACATTATGTTCACTTACCAGAATAATAGCAATAGGTTCTCCTCTGCAGCCTGTAATCTGTCTATCCATAGGTTCTTGGTCCTGATAAGAGCTCCAAGTATGGGCTTCATCTTGTAAAGGGAGATTTAGATCCAATCATGAAGTGGTTGGTTACTTCAACATCATACATGTCACTATTGCACCAGTGGGCATGTCTTGCTAAGATAGTCATTATTGCAGCTTGTAGGGTGTACATCTGGGTAAGGCTATTAGCTTTCTCTTCTAGTAGTATGGATAGCAACTTCCAGCACTACAAAAGCAAGGCAGTAGAGATGAAGATCGGAGGTAAATACCAACCACTTCGATTTCTCAATGTTTGTTCTAGGAGTAACGTATGTAGTGTCTTCAATATTAGGGTCTTACCATCAAGGACCAGAGGTCAACCAACAGCAAGCCAGTGTTGTTTAAGGATCCCCTTGGTAAGCAACTCCAAAATATTGAGTCTATTCCTGGCACTGGGCATTTTAATTGCTAACTTGTGTCTTGGTAGAGTCACTGAACCCCTGTTATAGGGTAAATACATTTAAAATATTTTATATGGGTCTATAATTTTAAGAAACTTCTAAATTAGTAGGTTTCCATTTGAATTTTTCAAAATCCCTCTAGTGTTGGTTATCCTTCCCCATATTCCCTCCTCTACCCATTTGCCACCCCATTTAATCCTTTCTCTTCCATTATTCCCCTCTCCACTCATATGTCACTGTGTTCTATCTCCCTTCCCAAGACCCCCGCCCCTCCTCATGGCCCCTTACTAGATTCCTGACCTCTATGGTTTTTTCTGACTGAAACACACACCCTCCCACATTAACTATCAATTGACCAAACTCCTCACAGACATGGCCATAGGCCACTCCAGTGGAAAAAATTACTCAACTGAAGTTCCCTCTTCCCAAATGACTCTACTTTGTGTCAAATTGACAAAAACTCACCAATACATGCACTGTGAAAGCTAGTAATCAGGAAAGAAGCTTCTAGTCCAGCTCCATACTGATGTCTCTATAGTTTACTCTGACTGTATATTGTGCCTTCAGCAAAGCAGTCTCATCAACTAGTTCTGGTGGATCACCAAGATGAATAACAAGAGCCTGTGTCGTTTGGATAGGCTCTGCAGCCTCCCTGCCAGCTCAGGCAATGTCACAAAACTGGCATTGAGATTTTTGTTTGATAATCCATAACTAGTAGTAACAATCAGTCATTTAGGATATCACCCATATAATTCTTTAAATACATATATACTATATTTTTGTTTTAAATTTATTTTATTTATTGTTTTTATTTTATGTGTACAAATGCATTGCATGTAAGTGCACCCATGTCATGTAATGCCTGTGGAAATCAGAAGTGGTCATTCGATCTCCTGGAACTGGAGTTAGGATAGTTGTTAGCCACCATGTAGTTTCTGGGAGCCAAACTAGGGTCCTCTGTAAGAGTAATCAGCTGACCATCTCCAGCCTCCAGCTCATATTTTTTTTTGTCTTTTTGAGACAGGGTTTCCCTGTAATCCCAGCTGTCCTGGAACTCACTATGTAGACCAGGCTGGCCTTGAACTCACAGAGATAAACCTGCCTCTGCCTCACAAGTGCTGGGACTATAGGTGTGTGCCACCATGCCCGGCTCATATTTTTATTTGCTTACAAAATAGTAGGTTTCCATGTGGCTTTTCTATACACTGTTTGTTTTGGCTAATACTGTCTCCCTTCTCCTTCATAACCTCCATCTCCCATCCCCATCCCTGCCTAAATTATAATGATCTCTAGTCACAGCAATGCTGTTATAAATCATGGGATGCTTTTATGACTTATTAACATATGTTACATACAGATCATATGACTATGATATTTTCTTCATCAGATGATGAACATTTAGGTTTTTCCCATTTCCTGAATAATGTGAACACAGCTACAGAAACATGCAGTGTACATATCTTTTTCCCATACTGATATCATTTCTGTTATTTTCAGTCAGCAGCAGAATGTAGGAGCACCTTGTGGCTATCATGGCTGTGCTTGTTTGTATTCCCACCAGAAGTCCGCATCAGTTACCTTTCTCCACATATTTGCTATGATAGTTTCTGGATGGAAATGATAACCTTTGTCATTTTGATCATACAGTAGTGGAGCCATAGACACATTTCACAATGTCCTGCTTTCACATAGGACAGGAACAGGGCATCCAAACTCAGGTCCTTGTTTTTCTCACATGAAGCATTTACCCAGTGTATCATCTTCCCAGCTCTGTGGGTCTATTTTTTTGTTATCAGTCCACAAGACTGGGAAGGCCAGTAAGACCCATGCTGAAGCATTTGTAAGCTGATGAGCTAGGAAAGGCAGTTGAGTAATTCAGCTTGAACTCAAAGATCTGAGAATGAGGAAATTGAGGTGTAACTAGGATGTGTCTTAGAGACTCTGGAAATGAAAGAGAGAGAGAGAGAGAGAGAGAGAGAGAGAGAGAGAGAGACAGAGCCAAAGAGACAGTGACAGAAAGACAGAGAGACTATGTGAATGAGAATGAATATTTCTATGTAACTGATTTTTAAAAAGTGACTCTTCTTTCCATGATTTTTGCTCTATCCAGGTGAGCCCTCAATGGGTTGGATGATGACCATCCACATTAAGGAGCCCAGATCTTAACTAAGGTGGCTTGCTTCAAATAGGGCTTCATTGATACAACATTGTAGATATACACATAAACATGTTCTTCTATGTAGATCTTGGCATCTTCTATTAAATAAACACCAAAGCCAGCACAGTACATAAATGGCCATGATAACTTTCATTTGGGCAAATTTCTGACATCCATTTGTACAAGTCTCCCCCTAAGAGCACTTCTTCCCCTCAGTGGCTTCTTTATCAACTTTCTTTCATGTATTTACATTCATGTGACAGAAAAATTATTGGATGGAAAGTAACTGAATATAGCAGTATGAACTATATCATTTCTGTCCCATTCTCCATCAAGGATACCAAGAATAAGCAGGATGCCTTTAATAACATAGTGGAATAATAAATAAATTGACTGAAATTAGATCAGATAAATATGATTTGTGTTAGCAACAATTTGTACTTCAAGATTTTTCTGAAAAGCTGGAATCTTAAAAACCAAACTTGGTGCATACATTATTTACAGGGTTACATGCTGTTGAGTTCATGGGTTTGTATTTTATTTCCTGTCCAAAGATAAAATTAGATTTAAATATATAAGCTAAAAAAAAGATTGACTACAAATAGATCCAAGTATGCCATAGACATTCTTATTCAGTTTTCACATTTCTGAACAAAATGTTCTCTTTTGACAGTCAACACACTATTGCAGAGATAAAGATATCACTTCAAGATCTTTAATTCAGTGCCGATGGGAAAATGTGACTTAGTATAGAGTTAAGATGTGAGGAAAATGTTGTGTATCCAAAGATGTTAAAATTAAGATAGTAACAATTATTTTGCAGTGAATACAATCTTTGTGAATGCATTCTTTACCTCCTTGTTCCTCAGGCTGTAAACCAGAGGGTTCAGCATGGGGATTACCATGGTGTAGAACACCGATGCGATTTTGTCAGTGTCCATTGCATGACTGGAGCTGGGCTGCAGGTACATGAAGATGACAGTCCCATAGAAAATGGAGACTGCAGTGAAGTGGGAGGCACAGGTGGACAAAGCTTTGCGGTACCCTGAAGCTGAGTGCATCTTTAGTATGCTGGTAAAAATGAACATGTAGGATACTGCAATTATTATGAAAGGAAAAAAGATATTGAAACTGGCTACGTAAATAAGAATCAGCTCATTAACATGTCTATCAGAGCAAGACACAGACATGACTGCTGGAATATCACAGAAGAAATGATGTACCACATTGGACTTACAGAAGGAGAGACTGAATGCATCCCCAGTATAAATGGAAGCATTCAGGATACCACAGACATAGCAACCAATGACTAGACATACACACACTCTTGTTGTCATGGTAGTGGCATAGTGTAGGGGCTTACACACTGCAGCATAGCGATCGTAGGCCATTGACACCAAAAGGAAATTCTCCACATTTACAAAGATTGCGAAAAAGAACATTTGAGCAGCACAAGCATTGTAAGTCATGATCTTGTCATCTACAAGGAATCCGGCTATGACCTTTGGAGTGATTGCTGAAGAGTAGCAAAAGTCCACCAGAGATAGGTTACTGAGGAAAATGTACATGGGACTGTGTAGCCGAGAGTCCAAGAGAATCAGCAGGATCAACCCTAGGTTCCCAACCAGGGTGATGGTGTAGATGAGAAGGAAGGTGATAAAGAGGGGAACCTGCAGGCCTGGGTCATCGTTGAGTCCCAGCAGGATGAACTGTGTCACTTCTGTCCCATTCTCCATTAATGACATTAAAGTATCAGCTGGATGCCTTTAAAAAATAAAAAAATAGTGGAATGATAAATAAAATAGACTGAAATTGGATAGGAAAAATGAAATGCATATTAACAACAACTTGTACTTCAAGATTTTTCAGAAAACATGAGTTTGAAAATCCAGCTTGGTGAATAAACCATCTACAGGGTTACATGCTATTGATTCTATGGAATTTGAATATTTCCTGCTCAAAATTAAAACTAGATACTTAGATACAATTATTTAAATTTAGATACATTTGTGAGATAGAGGTAGCATACCTATTCACATTTGAAGTCAGTAAGACTAATACTTCTATGCAGCTTACCTGCTAAGAAATACATTCACAGTTCTTTGTCAAGAATATTATGACTTAGGTAAGTTGTTACAGGTAAATTATGAAACACAGAGGTGCAAAACTTCATGTATATTTAAATAGTCTTAATTGTTACTTTCTCTCCTCTACCCTTTCCAACCTTCATCCCATTGCAAGTCAAATGGTATAAAATAAATATTACTTAATTGACAATGAACAATTATCTGCTTTTGTTTAATCACAGTGAAGTGACCTTGGTCACAAAATGAAAAGTAATGCAATGATGCAAACAAAATCCATAACATAAACCCCAGGATGTTTCCTTTTTGAAAAGTAAAGCATCCTGAATGAGTTCTGAATTGCATTTAATTGCTTTTCACACACACACACACACACAAACACACACACACACACACACACACAAGCTTTTAATATCAGCACATCTATACATGTTGATGAGGATATGTCTACATAAAGTTTTGATTAGGCTGAACAAATCTTTAACTTGAATCCATGTTGTATAAAACTGTCCATTTTAGACTTGGTAGGGTTCCAGGTTTGTTGGGGGTGTTTCAATTCAGAGGCAATTTTGAGTGGTAACATAGACAGAGAAAACATAAAGCTTCATTTCCTGAAAGAAATGAATATCAGGTTTTTTATTGACTACCATAAGCTATTGATGTTAATATAATTCCTCTAAATATCATCAATGCCATCTGCAAAATGGAGACAGCAATGACACCTACTTTTAAGTATTATTGTGAGAAATAAATAATATGTAAAAGGCAATCAAAGACAATAAAATGCTAGATGTTAAGGTCAGTTTGGTGAGTGCTGGTCATCATTAGGATAAGATAATCGTCTGTATGTTAGTTTGATCAAAGTGGATACTAACATGCAGGCTTTTGTTCTGAGTGACTTTAAAGTGTTGAAATATCTGTACTCTAACTGACTTTTCACCTGGGCTCAGGCCACTGGAATTGTCTGTGCCTTTTCATGATTCTCAGTTTGTTTTAACTATAAGTGCACCAGTGCTGCTCCTGTGGGTTATACTTTAAAATTTTTCCATTGCAATACATCATTTATTTTGAATGAAAAAGTCCATGTTTCACAAATTGCATTTTAATTTTTATCCAGTATGTCATGCTACAGTCAAAACCGAAACCAAGAGGTCAAAATTCCCTGTTTGTTGGCTGTGTTTAGCTTGTAGATGTGTCATTCTTGGTTACTAACAGAACTTAAAACTTTGTTTGACTTGACATATTTGGAGGGATACACATTATAAAGAACTAATATTACCTAACATCTTTTCTTGAGTCTTCTACTATTTATGAGCCTGCCCCTTGAAGAGACTATAGTTGCCAATTTTACCTCACTTGATCACTTTCAGCATTGCTATATTCTATAACCTATGATAAGGGACTTATATTCTAATTGCTCTCTTTCTCTGTGTAAGGTATAATACATTTTTATTTGTTAGTATATTTGTCAGAAATCTGAAAATCTAAGAAGGTATGTGATGCTTTCAATTTGTACCGATAGTAAGAGGAAGACTCAAGTTTCAAGACTTGATGATCCCACCCAACAACAAGCATGACATACTGGCACAAGCATTGCAGCATGGGTAGAGGACGGTCATTCATTTTCCACCCTTTATCAGTATGAAGAAAGACCGTTCCAGCCTTCCAGTCTTTTGTCTTTTTGTGATTTTTTTTAACATCAATTAAATCAAAAGAATAGTGAACAAGATTAAGTCACTAGTCACTCAAGTATATTTTACCATATTCTAAAATATTTTGGGAAAGAAGCATAATTTAATATATGAATAATCAAATCTCTTGTGATAGATATATTGATATTTTTACCTATATTCATCATTTCAAAACCATTTGAATACTATTTTAAAATAATTCATAGTAGGCAGATATAGAGAGCTAAATTTTTCATGAATTATACTTCTCAATGAAACATTTATGAATACAGCAAGTTAAAAATATTCAGTAGGGAAATATTTGATCCAGAATGGTCATTCTAAAGCCCACCATGAGATATTGCATAAATGCTCTTAGAGGAGCTCATGCTTAGAAAATAGTCAGTGGTTCCAACTTGGCTAAAGTGAGAGAGGAAGACAGAATTTTAACATGAATCAAGTTCTGAATCCACCACACATTTGTTCTCTTGTCTTGGAAGAGCCACTTACCTCCTTGTTGAAAGCAAGGAAAACCCAGAGAACATTGCTTTTCTCTCATAATTCAGAGATTGTGCCTGTATATGACAGAGAGTTCTATAAGGGAATTCAAGGAGAGATTGTCAGGTAAAATCAATGAAATTTTTATCTTTGAGTGCTTCTCTCACCTTCGTTGAAGGATAACAGCTAATCCAGGTTGGTCAGAAGAAGGCTCACATGTCTTAACAATGACTAGCATTCAGAAAATATATAACATCAATGGAGACTGTTCTGCACTGTGTTCCCCAGAGTGGCACACTGGGATTTCAGAGGGTGATGCATGGAGATCTGAAGATAATTATAGACACTTAGAGATCTCTGGAGAGGCCCCTGCGAGAATACCTGAAGCTCCTCATCCTGTCTTCCTAGGAAAGAAGTAATTACCCTGCCTGTGGAGACCAAATTGGTTACTTCATTATGAATTTAAATTTTCATTTTTAGTGGATAAAAATCATAATATTAATGAGATATGTGCAATGCTTTAGACATGTACACATTGTGAAATGTTAGAGTCAGGCTAAAAATGTCTCTCTCTGGCTAGAGAGATGGATCAGTGGGTAAGAGCATTGGCTGCTCTTGCAGAAAACCCAGGTTCAATTCCAAGCACCCACATGACAGCTAACAACCTCCAGGGGATCAGACACTCTCTTCTGACCTCCATGGGCATTGCATGACATGGTATGCATACATGTATATAGGCAATACACTCATACACAGAAAATAAAAATTAAAAAGTGCTTGTCACCACAAACATGATTTCTTTCAAAATCTGGGGCTGGACAGATTGCTCAGTGGTTAAGAACACTGACTGTTCTTTCAGAAGGCCCAGGTTTGAATCCTAGCACACACATGACAGCTAACAACTGTCCGTAATTCCAGTTCCGGGGACCCAACAGCATCCTCTGTCCTCCATGGGCATTGTACAACATGGGAGCTCTTACCTACATGTAGGCAGTACACGCATACACATAAGATAAAAATAATAAATAAAAAATTTCAAAGTCCTTTCTGGTTCTAGCTTTTCAAGATCATATTACATCATGGTTAATCGTCAACCTACTATCTAATTGTACACTAGAGCTTCTTGCTCTTACTTAACTATAACTTAGTATAATAGCTATTGATAATTCATAACCCTTTCCTAATCTGTCCCTTGTAGTGCTCTCTACAGAGTCTGGTAGCTCCCATGATACAATGAACCACTATGAAATCAGTGTTTTGAGAAAGATGATAGGTGATAGATAGGTAGATAGGTAGATGATCAATAGGTAATTAGATGATAGATGATAGATGATGATAGATGATAGATGACAGATGGTAGATAGATGATTGATAGATGATAGATAATAGTTACGTAGATGATAGATAGATGATTGATAGATGATAGATAGATGATAGTTGATACAATAGATAGGTAGATGATACAATAGATAGGTGATACAATGAACCTCTATGAAATCATTATTTTGAGATAAATTATAAATGATAGGTAGATGATCAATAGGTAGATAAATAGATGATAGAGAGATGACTGATAGATAGATAGATAGATAGATAGATAGATACCTTTCCACCTCATTCTATCTAGATGAGCCTTCAATTAACTGGATGATGGGTACCCACATTGTCTAGGGCAGAGATTTACTAAGCTAAATGCTTCAAATAGTCCTTACTTTCATAAACATTCTTACAAACTCTCAGATAGACATAGGCTTGGGACATTTATCTGTTATATTTGTCTAATAGGTTTTTCTTTTTGTTTGTTTGTTGCTTTGACATGGTCTTGCTACATAATTTAAATTGGAATTAAACCCCCAATCCACACACATCAGCCTCCTCAGTACTGGGATTCCAAGGGTGCACCACCATGCTTGAAACACATTTTATTAGCTGAAGTATTGCTTACTCCAGGAAAATTAACACAAAATTTACTACCACATAAAGCCACAATGCATTTCATCCTGAAAAGTTGCACACACTTCTGTCAAAGTGACCTCACCAGATACTTTGTGGGCTTTATTATGCTTTTATTGTATATACATTTTCACTGAATAAAGGACAAAGAAATTGATGGGAGATGGATGAATACATTCATCATATATTCAATTGGATTTGGATAAGAAAGCCCCAGACTATAAAAATTCTCCTACAGCTATAATGTTTCTGAAAAGTTGTTTTCCTGAGTAACACACTTTTGTAAAGATATCACTTCAACAAATTAAGCTCAGTGTGGGTTTTGAAATATTTAAGCTGACAAGATGATTCTGTGAATAAAAATGTTTGTTACCAAGTCTGTGGGCCCAAGTTTGATCCCTAGATCCCACATTGTAGAAATAGAGAACTGACTCCCACATGTGAAATTTGGCATGCACATATGCCTCCCTATAAATAAATAAATAATAAATACCAAGTGTAAAGCAAATAAAAATGACTCAGTCAATACAAAATAGCCAT